CAGGGACTGACTCCAAGCATCCATCCCCTCCACAGGGGCCAGGAGGGGCTGGATGCCAAAACCCACAGGCAAAAGCCACAGGGTTGCAATGAGGAAGGGTCATTTCAGACCCATTTCCAGCACTACCTGAGTGACAGCAAAGCTGAGAGCCTGTGGAAAGCAAGCAGTGGCCCTGCCTGTCCCTCCTGCCCCCAAGCATCCTGCCGGGAAGCGGCACATGCAGTGGCAGGAGAGGCCAGCCAAGGAAAACTGCTCAATTTTGCCTCCCTTCGGCAAGGAAGCAGCTTTGCTGGCTGCCAGCCCCACAATAATCCCCTAGGGACCTCAATCTTCTTTTTTTTGCGCCACATCCCTGGATTTCTTATTTATAGGGCTGCTCACACCCTGAATGCCCAGTCCCCAGGGAGAAGGAAAGGTGTTTTTCTCTGATTAATAGCTAAAGGCTGGAGAAGGTGACCTTGGGCAGAGGCTGCACAAGAGGCCCCACATCCCACCTGGCCCCACGGGATTTCTCTCTCATGGTTGCAGCCAAAAATGTCCTGTTCCATGGAGAAAATGCAGAAATGGCTCATAAAACACAAGCTTGGGGACTGCCGGATACAGACAGTGTGCTGCAGGGAGAACACACCTGCCTCCATCCTAGTTGTAAAAGGAAAATCACCCTTCAGTCTCCACTTGCATTCCCAGCTAGGACACACACAAGGCTGTGCAAAAGCTTCCTAGGATCAGGGCTGGGATTTTTGCTGATGGGAGCTCCGGAGCCCTCTCCCCACTAAACCAGCCGGCTCAGCCAGGCTGTGCATTCATCCTCCTTGGGGCTTGTGGGAAGACACAACACATGGGAAAGCCCCAGGGCTGGAATAAACCTGCAAACAACTTCTGTAGCACTGTCAGAAACAGCACCAGGAGAGAAGGGAACTGCCTTGTGGGTTCGGCTCTGTCAGTCCTGCATCCTCACCACCAGGAGCTTCATACTCAGCCAGCTCCAGAGGGATCTGTTAGGAGAGAAAGCATGCTGATTTTCTGGAATTTTCCAGCTTATCCAGCTTTTACAGGGCTGCACATCCCACTTTGCTTGCAGAGGGGCAAATTTGGCTGAGCCCATGGCAAGGCCTGCTCACAGCTGAGCTCAAAGTCCTTGGGGAAACCAGCAGGGAAAAAAACAACTCAGCCAAGACACCACCATGTGCCTCCCGGCTGGACAAGGAGCTGCAGTGACCTTGTCCAAACACGGCCTGGAGTTAGAAGCACAGAGGGAGGGGATGTGACTCACATCTGGGATGTGGCCACAGAGGACAGATGTGTTTTATTACTGTCCAGGCCCTCTCTGCAGCTCTGTCTCAGTGACTCAGCCTTGCCTTCAGGCTCTTCCGAAAGGAGCCACGGCACATCTTTTCCCAGCAGTGTCCTTCTGGTGCCATAAAACACATTTGGGAAGTTCAGGCTCCTGCAAGGGGAAAAAGAAATAAATTAAAACAAATCAAAGTTACATTTCTCCATGGGAATCTTCCAATTTCAATTTTAATTTATTCAGAGAAGGATAAAATCTAATGCTTTAGTGGTGGGGCCCATCTCTCTACATTTAGAGACTTAAAACCTAAACATCCCAATCCCTGTGGAAGGACAGTGATGAGTCCCCTGGGTTTTCTTGGACATTTACCACAGGGTAAGAAGAAACATCTTCTGGAGATGTTCCATGTCTGGAGGGGAGAATAAGGGTATTTCAACAGATTTCCTTCCCACAATTGGTGGGAAATTCAGCTTTTGGTGGAGAGAGCCCCAAAGCACCAAGGCAAGGCTGAGCCACCATGTATTAGACATCTGAAAATCTAAAGAGGGGACTGAGCACGGTGCATTGGTTCTGGGGGTCTCCTGTGGAACCCAGACACAGCCCCCAGCCCCCTCACTTCGGGAAGGGGTTCTTTTCCCATATCACCCCCACCCAAACAGCCTTTTTCACACTCACCTTTACTATTTATCCACCGCTGTCACACGCCCTGTGTGCCACCAGGTACCAAGTGACACCACAGGGCGATGGCACCGCCCAGAACCCCCCCCTTCCCACCTGTGGTTTTTCCAACGGGAGAGCAGATGGGGCCACATCTGCCAGGAGATTTTTCTAGGCAGCAGGAGCCAAATATCCATGAGCGATCCTGGGCCAAGTGCTGCTGGACCCGGGAGCCAGCGGTGCAGTTCGCTTGGCAGACACTTGATGGGGCTACGAAACCAGATACCGGCACAGCTGGAAAAACGGGGGGCAAAACAGCCTCTGCCAGATGTTTTGGGGTCCTGCTTTGTGGGTGCCGGGCTGGCAGTGCAACAGCTGACAGCACCCACATGGGATGCTGGTGCCGGTGCCATCCCAGTGCTTCACTTGCATCCTGAATACTCCAGCTGAATGAGGGTTGCCAGCACCTGGACTAAGCTGGAGGTTTCACCTCCAAAAGCTTTTCTGTGTTCTGAGTGTGGTGATGGGAAGGGAGTGTGGGAGTTGCTGCTGGAATCCCCAGCAGCGCTGCCTTGCAAAATGCTGATTAAGTTTTATGCTGCAATTGCAAGACAAGGTGACCTTCCTACCTCCCACCTGCCTAAAATCACAACTCTTTGAGGGACTTTGGACAGCAGCCTGGAGTGACAGGACAAGAGGAAATGCCTTCACACTGACAAAGTGTAGGATTAGATTGGATATTAGGCAGAAATTCTTCACTGTGAGGGTGGTGAGGCACTGGCCTCAGAGAAGTTGTAGCTGTCTCATCCCTGGAAGTGTTCAAGACCAGGTTGGATGGGGCTTGGAGCAATCTGGTCTAGTGGAAGGTGTCCCTGCCCGTGGCAGGGGGGTGTAACGAGAGGATCTTTAAGGTCCCTTCCAACTCAAACCATTCTAGGATTCTTTGTCAGCTGCATTGGTGGGATTTTCCCATGTTTCACCCCAAAGCCAGGAGAGGATGGGGAGATCCAGCCCCAAAGCAAAGCTCGAGCACAGCAAGAGGCACGGCTCTGCACTGCAGATCCACTGCAGACAAGGGCCAGCCCCAAATTCCCTGAACACTGCTGTCAAACCTTCCGGCACGGCCCTAAATCCACCAGGACTTACCTGGCTCCAGCTGGCCGAGCAAGCTGAAGCAGAGAAAGTGAGTCAAAGTCTCTCCTACTTGGGGAAAAAAAAAGAATAAGAGAAGTCTCCATAAATCTTGAGCTACTTACTGATGGAGAGGACTCCCCTCCTCCTGCTCCACACACTGTGGCACAAATTATGGCCCAACTTCACTGTTGTTCAGTGATGAACATCTGAAAATGCTGTGACAGATGAGAGAAGGGATGATTTAACAGCCATAAATCCAGCCAGCTTAGAGGTGTTTTTACAACCAAACCCATCTTGAATCCCCTCTGTTATGAATACTTATCACTCCCAGACACTGCTACAATGGAAAGATTTTTAACAGCTTTAATAGAGATGCAATAAAACCCCCAGAGCCCGGCAAGCAGACGGCCTTTGATCCCTCCCGAGGGAGGGAGAGGGGCTGAGAGCTGCTCACTGTACTCAGGCTTGAAGGACCAGAGCTGGAGCAGCCACTGGGCCACTGCTGATCCTGGGTTTAATGGATGGGTGGCATCATCCCAGAGCTGGATCAGTTTTCCTAAAGCTGCTGCACGGTGTAGCTAATACCCCACAGTGAAGAATGGGGAGATGGGCTGTGGCTGGAATGCCCAGCACCTTCCTGCTCTTGCCTTTCCCAGGGTCTCCTCCTGCCATTCCCCACATCACACCTGGTCTAACCCACCCTCAGGGATTTTAAAATGAGGGTCATTTCAGCTCAACCAACAACCCCCCTGGGTGGGCTGACACCCCTCAGCTGCCTCTCACTGCTTTTAATGCAGCGCTTTTTAATTCATTAATGATTAAATGGGCTTAATGACCACCACACAACGAGCAGGACAGGGACACTGCTCCCAGGACACCGCCCAGCTCCGGGTTAACTCACCATGGATCTCACTCCCTCACAGTTTGGGATTAAGTGGCCAGAGATCTCCTTCCCTCTTGCTATGCCTGCTGCCCCTATAACCTCTCAACACCCTTCTGCAAGCACCCAGCCTGCAAAACCAGGAACAGGGAGGTGCTGGGGTGCAGCCACTGCAAAGGGCACCCAGTGCTGAGCAAATACCTGAGGAATAAGCCCCTCCTTCCTCATACACACAAACTTATCAGGCACAGCAAGGTGATAAGGAATTCAGCAGATGGAAGGAACAAAAGTGATCCCAGGGCATGTGGGTGGCTCCTGGTTTTCCATAGCTGGGCAGTCCACATCCAGGTAAAACACCAGGTAAAACCTCTGAGCATGAGCTTTGGGGATGGTGGTTTCTGTGGAGGGTAATTAAAATAAAAAGGAGTGGGGCAAGTTCCTTCCTAAGAGAAACGTGGCCACAAAACCCTCCCCTTGGGCTACCAAGTGAGAAACCAGCCCTGCAGGGCAAGGAACAGGCTCAGCTTGGCCATATGGAGACCCAAGGGGACGTGGACTCTGAAGCCTGGGTGGAGGATGACACTCCCAGCCCGTTAACCTAAGGGAACATCTTTTTTTAATAGGATAATAGTGAGTAATTGATTTTTAAATACACTGAAATCAAATGTCCTGAGGCCAGAGCAGGATCTCAGCTCTGTCATCAACTCAGTGGTGACTGGCAGAGATTGAGAGCACAGGGGAAAAGAAAATAAAAATTAAATCTCCTTCATGTGCCTCTCTGGCTCCGGGGCAAATGCTAAAGTCTCTGTAAAAGGTGCATCAATTTTTCTCTATTGAAAAATAGGTCAGCAAAAGACAGATGATGATGAGGGCAGAACTGGGAAGGCACCAGGGACATCGAGGCCAAGCAGGAAGCATGGAGAAGATCCATTGGTTAAAACACATGACAACAGTGGAGCAAAAAAAATTAATATTTAAGGTAATTTATTCCAATCTCTCTCTCTCTCTCACCCCATCCTTCACACAGTCCCGGCCAAGAAGGGTTTATGGATATTTTTTATTTTATTTTAATTATTTTTTTAATAGAAAAATACACATGCAAATAATATACACTTCAGCGCTGAACTTCTTTTTTCATGTTGGGAAAAAAAAATAATAAAGAAACAAAGGAGGATTTGGGGAAGACCTGAGTGGAGACAGATACAGGGATGTCATGGGGATAGGATGCTCCAGGATGCTGAGCTGCCTGTGGTCCAGCACATCCTGTCCATCAGGAAGGTGTTCATGGAGCTGAGGGGCTGCTGGAGGGACCAATGTCTGCCCCTCACCCCGGCAAAAAACCTTCTCCAGTAACTCTATCCAGGTTTGGGAATGGCCAAGGGAAAATTTGTGCTGAATCCGTCCTTCCTACAAGACCCAACGTGGAGCCAACTCCCATCCCCAGCAGCAAGGGAAGCCCAGCTTAGGTAAAAGCATCACTTTGATGCTCAGAAATAATACCAGAAACTAAGAGCTACATGGAAAAAATACCATTTTATGCTATTTATCCTACAGGATACAGATGGCAGCATGGGGAAAAATGGACTGATGGTTTCTTGAAACCTACACTTGTGTTTCAAGATGATGTTTTTGGGGTGAGACTGAGTGTTGGACCTTTGGCTGAGCAGGGCTGGGGGTTTCTGACCCTATGGGATGCTCCTTGCAGAGGAGAGCAGTGATGTCCCCGTGTCCCCAGCGATGTCCTCATGTCCCCAGCCTCTCTGCAACCACCACGCCAAGATCCATGGGGAAAAATCAGATATGCTGCACAGTGGGAGCTGCCATCCCTTGAGCAGAATGGGAGATGTCCTTAAGACAGGGCTATTTCAGGTTTGATGGATGATCAGCTGGAGCAAAGGGGCTGGGGAAGGAGGGGACACCGAGGAGCAGCCCGGGGAAGGAGAGCGATTAATCTGCTACCACGGTCACTGCGGGAAGCCAGGAGGCTTTGGGAAATGTCACAATCCAGCGACATCCCAACACTGACAGGGCAGCAGGGAGCAGGATGATGTGCTTTGCTGCCTCCTCCCAAGCCACGAGGTTCTCCTCTGCCTCCTCTTCCCACAATCCTGCCCAAGGCCATGGCTTTTTTCCTACTGATCCAGGCTAATGATATGAAGCAAACTGTGTTTCCTCTTTGCCCAGAGGTACAAAACCACACAGGCAGTGCAGAGAAGGTTTCCCAAGGGAAAGATTTCCTTCCAGCTCCCAAGGAGCTGTATAGTGAGCACAGCAGCAGCACTTTGCCAGCCCCATCTCTGCTCCCACCAACCCCTCGCACTGCCCGTGTCCCCAGCCAGTGGTGACATCCCTGGATACACAACACAACCTGAGTGACTCAGAGCCTCCTGTTGGCTGCTGCATCCCATCATCCTCCTCAGCAGCTGGGACAAACCCACATGTTCCCAGCACCCAGTGCCTCACTACAGACATATGGAGATGGATCAAACTGGGGGCAGAGCCGGCTGCTCCCCCCGGCACTGGCTTCCTCGGTGGCTGGATACAGCCCCAGCGCCTGGATGTGATCCCTGCCCTCTCCTCCTGCATCCCTAGAACAGTTCCAGCATCTGCTGCGCTCATCAAGGGGATGGCAGCAGGGAAAAGCAGCCTTGGATACCTCTGGATTTACCACCATCCACGGCAGCCTTGGAAAAGCATCGAGCTGCAAACACTGGAGACCACAACAGCCTTTCATGGGGAGGCTGAAGACTGAGTGCCTGGGGGCTGCACAGTCGCTCTCTTTCTGCTTTTGCCTTGTGATTTGTTTTGCTTTTTAACTGACAAAGTTCACTTTTGGGACTGTCTACTCTGAAAATAGAGGCAGGAGGGTCTGGCAAGGGCAGGGGGCTCTTCGGCTCCTATGTCTACAGGCTGCCCTGGTGCAGCTCTAAAGTTTGGTGGATGATCATGCAGGTTTTATTGCAGCTTGTGTGTGTGATTTTTGTTGTAAGTATCCCAGCTTCAGTCTCAGGTAGCCCCGGAGGTGGGTTTCTCTCCCCTCCCCACCTGTCCGGCTGCCGTCTCTCCATCGCCACGTGCCAGCCAGGAGGCTACTCGGTGGCCATCTGCTCGATGTGGTCACTGAGCAGCTTGTATTGCTCTGCAGAGGAGAAAGAAAAGAGCTCTGGGAGGGTGCTGAACCACCCCATCTATGCTTCATCCCTCCAGGACCCCATGATGGGGGTGCACATCCCTTGGGATCTCCCCTACCTTCATCCAAATTGCCGATGGTCGCCTGCTTCTTCAGGAAGTCGCTGCAGAGCTTCTTGTTGAGGCCGAACGCCAGCATGTTGTGAATGAAGGTGCTGAGGGAGAACAGAGATGCTCTTGGTGAGGGAAGGGCCAAGCTGGTCTTTCTTCCCCCCACATTCCTCTCCCTCTCCACAGCCCCTTGTGCCGGGCACTGGGGTGGTGCTCAGCTGTGGGAGAGCTCTCCCACACCCTTTGGCACCTGGATATTCAATATACGGGGCAGGAGCAGCTCCTAGGGGGAAGCTTCAAGCACCCTCCACACCATAAGGGATGTCCTCAGTGGGGGAGAATCTGTCAGGTGTCCCCCCTCCACAGCTGGTCCCCAGGAGGGCCAGTCCCCATGCCCTGCTCACCCCAGCTGCCCAAAGGTGATGTTCTCGTTGAAGCGCAGGCTGTCGTCACGCTCCTCCTGTGTCATGTGGCACCACTTCTCTCTGAAAGGCACAACTCCATCTGGCACCACCATCACCCCAGGACCCCCTGCCTGCCTTCTCCCACCCTGGGCCATGTTGCTGGAGGACAGGAGGCCATAAAGGGTTTCTCTTGTGCTGGATGAGCTCACAGCCTGCATCCATGTACAGATCTCCTGCCCTGGGGCAAAGCAAGAGATGCCCCAGGAAAAGGTCTTGAAAGGCCTCGATTAAGAGCTAAAACTAGCATTGACTGCTCCAGCACAGAGCTCACCTTCGGTGCCATTGCTTCAGCGAGGGGGATGAGGAGGAGGCAGGGGGATGGCCATCCCAGCAGGGCTCTGCTGAAGCCCCCCAAACTGGAAGGGGTGCCAGAGGGGTTACCAGGCACCTCTTCCCCCATCTGCAGCAGGGCTCCAACTCCCTGAACCCCAAGCAAGCTGCTCCCCAAACATACCTCCCCCTCTGACAGCGCAGGGGGTTCCCATACCCCTCCCCATGGCCCCTCTCCAGGGCTGATGTGCCAAAATCCCAGTGGTCCCCTGAGGATGCCCCGGCTCCACTCCAGCTCCCTGCAACTGCAGCATTGCCTTAAAGGATGGAGGTTTTTAAGCTCTAGATGTTTGCAACCAGCTCTAGGCAGTGGCAGGAGTCCCCATGCCAGGAATAAAGCCTGTGCCTCAGGGATGTCCCTGGGGTGGTGGCAGGGGGCTCAGTGCATGCATGCCAGGAAAACTACAGCTCCACAGTGAAGCCAGGCCCTTCCTGAGAAGTCAGGTGAGGTTACAGCCAAGGATGAAATGAGGAAAAGCAAGGAAAAACAGGGATAGGAAGAAGAAAAATAGCTCTATGGAGGAGAAGGAAGAGGAGAACACCAGGAGCAGAACACACATTTGTGGCTTGCGGGAATGCCAAGCAGCAGGGGGGGTTCTGTGTTGGGTGGAAAGTACAGCTGGGACAAGGGGGTCTCACCCTAAATTCAGTGAGGTTGGCTCAGCCCAGTGCACATTTGTGTGGCTGAAACTGGAAGAGGATGAGTGTTCAGCCAGGCTGACCTCATGAAGGGAGCCCGTCCTCGTTAACCCAGCCCAGCCTGGGTGTGCGAAGCTTTTAAGCTGAGCCTTCATTTACCAGCTCATATTTATAGGGCTCTGGAAACACGTACAATATGTTTAAAAGGATTTAAAAAAAAAAAAAAGGTGTAATTTCTCCCAGATAAAGCTTACAATAACAAATAAAACCCACAGCCAAATGTGGAGGCTGAAAAGAGAGGAGAAAAATTAAGGGGCTTTGAAATCTGGAAGCAAAACTTCACAGAACCCACTGGCTCGCTTACAGAAGAAGCATGTTTGTAACATTTTTTTTCCTGCCTTTTTATGTTTTTGAGGGAGGAAGGAGGGAGAAAAAACATTATCAAAGTGACCCCCTCAAAAAAACTGGCTGTGTTTCTGGCTTATTACTGGGGAGTAACATGCCTGGGAAGGGGGAAAACCCACATGTGGCTCCACTCAAAGCCTTTGATCTTCATACTGGCCCAGCAGGGTAGGCTCAGGGGTGAGCAACCCCATGGGCTGTGGGGTTGTATTTTGGGGTATCCAGGAAAGCTTTGCAGTGACTGGAACTGGTGAGAACTGTTAATCAACTGCTCAGCATCACCCCTCTTCCAGCAGCAGCATTCCCCTCTCACAAATTTGCTCAGAGCAAATCTGAGCAGTGCTCGCTCCAAGCAATATTTGAGTTATCCTTTTGCCAATACATTCCTTAGCCACACGGAAGATTTACTGCCAGACTTCAAAGAACCCTCATCCTCTTGGTAATGCCACCACTTGGAGTGATTTGCTCCAAGATCCCATGCTCCAGCAAGGAGCAGTGACTGTCCTCTGCCCTGATGCCAGCTCGAGGCACGGATGGATGTGGCTCCAAGGACATGATCCCAGTTGTGACATGCAGCCCCCATTTGCATTTTTAATTTTACAAAGGGATGGCAGCAAAAGAGTGCATTAAAAAAAAAACCAAAAAGGACCAGCTTTTCCAGCTGGCAAAGGATCCTCAGCACCTCTATGTGGCAGGAGAAGCCAGGAGCAAGCGGGAAGGACAGGAGAGGGGGATGCTTTCTCCACAAAGAGACTCAGTTCATGTCCAAAACCTGCCCAGAGGGATGTTCCCAGCAAAATCTCACAGCTTAAAACTATTCATGTTTCTTTTCAAAAACCACATTAAAGAGGAACCACTTTAAACCTCTCTGGCCCTTCGGTGAGGGTGATGCTCATGGTCAAACCTTTGGCAGCCGTTCCTCACCAGTGGAGAAAGGACCTTCCAGAGCCCCCCAAAACACTTTACTCCCCTCCCCAGGGCAGGATTTGGACCTAAAGTGAGCATCAGCCTCTGGACACTAATGAAGTACAGGGACAGACACACCTCTTCTCCTCTTCCTCCCCAGTGTTCCCTCTGGAGCGGCAGCAGAAACGGGGCCGACAAAAGTGGTGCGTGAAAAGATCATGCAAGACAGAGGGATGGAGGGGAACGGAGAGAAGAAGAGATGGAAGAAGGTTGTTAGAAGGCAGAGAGAAAGGAAAGAGAGAGAAAAAGAGGAGTTTAGTTCTGATTCCCTTCCCCCCCCCCCCCCCCTCCCCACACAGAGGAGAAAAATCCTCCCCAGGTCTCGCTGCAGCCCCAGGAGGACACGACCCAGCCACCCCAGAGATGCCCTGGGCACCCCACAGAGATGGGGTACCCCATCCCCAGGGACCCTCTGAACACCTGCCATGGCCAAGCATCAACCTGGAATTTCAAACCTAGCCCTCACCAACCACCTTCTCCTGCCAGGGATTTCAATCCTCGGTCCATCAAGCAGCACCCCGGTTCACCCAGTGGCTCCTGTTATCCTCTGCAGAGGACTACGAGGGGGGTCACCACCACCTTCCAACCCCCTCTGAGATACTCAGGATACTCCAGGCTGCAGCTCCCAAAGCTCATTTGTTAGTCAGGCTTGTTTCTGCAGCAGAGGCAGACTCAGCCATCAGATTAATTGGGAAAGGCACCCGGAGCAGAGAGCAGCTGCCGGTGGCGTATGTCCTTGTGAGACATTTGCTGCTGCTAATTTGGGGCTTAATCAAAGCAAATGCAGTTATGGTTCCATTACTGTTCAATAGCCTCTTTCAGTGCTTGCTAGGGAAAAAAAGGAAGAGCATTAAAGAGGAAAAAAGGGATTGATCAGTGCACTGAGCCTGGCAGAGCATCCCAGGGTGAGAGCCAGAGCTGCTGTGGCTTAGCTCAGGATTTGGGGAGGACACAGGCAGACTGGCTGCTTCAAGAGGTGCTGTCAGTGCTCAGAAAAGGAGCTGCTCGAATGCTGAGCTCGAGGACTCTCACCCTGAGAGCTCAAAGCCTCAAGGCACTCACAGACAGCGGGAGGGTCTGGCTTCGGAGCAGGGAAACTGCAGTCGAGAGGAGGGAATTGTTTGAGCCCTCACAGCAGCCCCGTGGGGGAGCAAGAGATGGGCATGAGCCTAGAGAGTGTCTCACCCACCCCTGCACCCCGAGGAGTCCCCATGCCCAGGCACAGCCACCCTGTGACACGAGCAGCCCCTTCCACTTGCAGGGTTTGTCCCAGTCCTCCCAGCTCTCAGGGCTGGTCCTGCTGCCATCCCCAGCTCTTGTCCTTGTGGGTTCCCCAGGGTTGGTCACCGTAGCCCTCCTGAAGACAGCAGGGACGGGACATCCCCTCCCATCCACTGCACCTCCCTGAGGGCTGCACCAAGCATCTCCCAGATCTGCTGGCAAACAGCACCAACAGCCCAAACCCTGGCTGGGATTTCTGGGCATACTTCTAGGGCTTTGTTCTTCCAAAACCAATACAAAATGAGCAAGAAAACCTTCACGCTCCCAAATCCCTACGAGGATGTGGATCTCACCTGCCCACCCCACCACCCAGTGGTCCCCAGCAGCTTTGCAATCAGGAGTGGAAAGCAGAGCGTTTCCCCATAGTTGTTCATGCTTAGGCCTTAGACCTTGGGGGGCCTGGAGGGGACACAGAGTCTCCTTTTCCCACCAGGAATGTCCTACCTGGTGGTGGGGGATCGCTTCCTGCGCTCGCAGTGCACGGCATCAAAGAAGGCGGCATTCCAAAACCGCAGGTTGTGCCTGCAGGAGGGAGGGGAGATGTTGAGGAAGGTCACTGATATCTGATTTAGATTAGATAGAAGGAAGGTTTTTTTACAATTAGGGTGGTGAGGCCCTGGCACAGGTTGCCCAGAGAAGCTGTGGCTGCCCCATCCCTGGAAGTGCCCAAAGCCAGGTTGGATGGGGCTTGGAGCAAACTGGTCTAGTGGAAGTTGTCCCTGCCCATGGCAGGGGGGTGGAATGAGATAAGCTTTGAGGTTCCTTCCAAGCCAAACCAGTCTGTGATTCTATAATCCCCCCAAGCCTGTCCCCAAATCCTCTCAGGGCCAAGCTCACCCCCTTCCCAGGGGTCAGGAGGTGACTTGAGGATGGCCCAAACAAGTCTGGCAGATTTGATCCATTTTTGGACCAGCTCTTTTGTGGCTGCAAACATGCTCTCATTAGCACAAGGGATGTGCCAAAGCCCAAGGTCACCTCTGTTAGAGGCAGCAGCTTAAAGGCACTCATGAACATCTGGAGAACGTGTGGCACAGAAGGACAAACCCCCTCCCCATGGAGGCCAATGCCAAGCAGGAACCAGCTCGCCCCGGGGGCTTTACCAGATCGGCTGCTGCTTGAGGTGCATGTACAGGTAGATCTTCTCTCCTTTCTTCTCCTCCTCCTCTGGGCTCTGCACAGAAACTGGGTGGGGGACACAGTCACACGCCAAGGTCTGGACAACTCCCAGCTTTCCACCCAAGCAAAGATTTTATGCCCCCCCCCCTCAGCTTGGCATCTGAGAAGCAGTGATGGTTTGCAAACCAAACACTCATCTTCAATACATCTACAGCAACACGAAGAGGAGCTTTGGATGCTTTTTGTGGGCAGATATTAGCCCACTAACACTCAAGGGACTGGACCACTGGTTTGGCAGCACACACAGTGACTGGGGGAGACTGATGCACCACAAAAGCGCAGGGCAGTGGATGCCCAAACCTCTGCAGCCTGTGACACTGAGGACAAGCTCCTTGCAGGACAAGAGTTGTGATTGTTCTAAAACAAGGGACTCCAGCATTTCCATCCCTCTCTCCTTCCCCCAGGATGCCTTGACCATGCCCATTGCAGCAGTCCTGGCTCCACTCACCTGTCTTCTTCAGCTTCTCCTTCGGTTTGTCCTCACCTTCGCTGTGGCACAGAAAACAGTGTCAGCTCCCAAAAATCCTGTCCCCCCCGACAGCCCATGATGCCCCTGGTGAAGGAAGCACCCTCATTTGAAAGACCCCCTACTCCCGTGCCATTTTCCCTGGGGCCAGAAAGGTGACTAGGAGGTGGTGGTGTCCATCCCAGTCAGACCCAGTACAGAGATGACGCAGAAGACCATGATTCTGGAACCACATAACTCCACACCCAAGGGACGCAGGACTCCCAGACCATGAGGTGACAATGGCTAGTGCACAAAGCATGGGACCAGGCTAGAGACCACCTTCCCATGGCCATGGTAGCCCAGGAGGTTTCTGTTTTGGTCACAGCCCCAGCCCACCCCGCCCACCCAATGGAGGAGTACCCACTCGCTCTTTTTGGTGGCAGGACCCTTCAGTTTGGTCTCCAGGCCCCCAAAGAAGCCCTTGACGTTCTCTGTCTTGGCTGATGTGTTTTTCAGCAGCCGCTCTGCGATGTCCTTCTTCTCTGCCAGCCACGTGTTCGCCGACTTCAGGTACGAGTCGATGCTGCCCGTGGGCTTCTCCTTGGCCTCCAAGGGCAGAGCGTGGGGCTTGCCTGGGGGACACACATCAGCAGTTCAGTGAGTTCCATGGTCCTGAGTGCTGACAGCTCCTGGGGGACTTGCTCCATCTACAAGATGCACCACGAAGACCAGGAGCCAGACGGAAACACCCAAGATCCTATCCCACCCCAATTCCTGTAGGTCTTTATCTTCATCCACATTTTGGGTAGAAAATCCAGCCCCCCGTGGAGGAGTGGCCACTACACACCAAGTATCAAGCCAAGGTGCTTCTGGGCTGGGGTGTTCACATCCTACACCCAGGGTTGGGGAACATCTGGGGGTTGTCACATGCGAACATCCCTGGCTAGAATGCCAGTGCCAATGCCAAACCAGCATCCCCATGAGCTACCACCCCCAGCAAGGGGCTCTGCCAGGTATCCATAGATTTTCAGACGTGGAGGCTCTTTTCCACTTCGTATCAGCGTCACCCAGAAGAAGGCGAGCTGGGGTGCCCCTCCACCACACTTCCCATGCACAGGGCTCACATCACACAGGTCCCCAGCACCAGCAAAGCCTGCACAAGGGTGCAGATGCCTCTTACCTATGTAGTAGTAGGTGAAACACATGGTCATGAGGTTCTTGGCAGGGCTGAAATCATCCATCTGGTGACACCTGACATGGAGGGAGGATTCAGTGAAGACACCCAGTGATGGAAAATCAGCCTCATGGCTCTGATCTCAGGGGCTTTTGGTGGTTGCAACAAAGCCCCAGACTCTCCCCAGGACTTACTCAAACAGCACGAGGGCGAATGACTGCATCAGGCGGTAGAAGGTCTGCTCTGAGACACACTTGGAGTTGCAGCGCTGCAGAGACAGAGCCCAGGGATCAGCACAGCAGCAAGAACAGCCTCAGCCCACCCTGGGACCTCCACCATGGGACATGGGCAAAGAGTACACACAGCTTGGCTCCCCCTCAGAAACAGCAGTTTGCCTCTCTGGATGGTTCTTTTAGGGAATAGGGCATTTCCAAGTGCTGGTGGGATTCAATTTTAAATAAAACAAATCAGTTCTTTCCCACATTGCACTAAGTACGTATTCATCTGCCTTGAGATGCATTTATTCACTCCTGTACTCCTTGTGCTGAGGTTCCTCCCTTTCCTCAAGTTTCTGCCCTCCAAAAATACTGCTTTGGGGTACAGTAAATTCCCCTGGCCTGGTTTGATCCCTGTATGGGCCATTCACTTAAGAGTTGGACTCGATGATCCTTGTGGGTCCCTTTCAACTCAGAATATTCTGTGATTCTGTCTGTGATTCTATGATTCTGACCCTCCTGCCCAGGCTGTTCAACAGTCTAGTGAAGGATCCCTGCTCCCTCCCCCTCACTCCCCTTACCTGGGCGCTCACATATCTCGCGAACCACTCCCTGCCCTTCCCATTCTCGCTGCTGCAGAGCTCACCAAACCTGGCCTTCTCCTCTTGGTCCAAATCCTCTCTGAAATGAGGAAAAATTTAAAAAACACCATTGAAGCTAAGGATGTGACCGGCGTCCCCCAGCCAGCCAGCACAGCTGCGCTCCCCCACATCATCCCTCAGCAGCAACAACCTGGCACTGCGATGCCGGGAGGAAGGCAGAGGAAGAGGGGAATGGAAGCATCCATTTTGTCATCCCTCGGCTTACGCTGCTCTTTTATTCCTCCCTGGCAGGGAGGGAAACTAAAGGCAGAGGGAGAAGGGAAGAGCCAAGGACGGCGCGAGCAGAAACTGAGCTCCAGAGACAGGCGCGGTGCCCCAGAGCGAAAACAAGCCCTGTTGCTGCTCATCACGCTCCGTCTGCTCGATCCTGCTTGACGCGCTGAGACACCACGTTACAGAGACCACAGGGATGGGGACAGAGCCCAGAGGGGGTCCCGGGGCATGTGTGAGCCACCGGCATTTGCACGGGCATCAGCAGAGATGTGCAGTGTGGAGAGGAGATGGAGACCCCCGGCACGGTGAGCCCCCTGGCACAGCGAGCCCCTGGCATGGGAAAGGGGACAAAGAAGAGGGGAGGGAAGATGGGGGTGGAAGATGAGCTGGGATGTGCTCAGGAGAGGGGTGCAAGCCAAAGCCTGCATGCCCTCTTAGCTCTGATGCTGTGGAGCAACAAGGTGCATCAGCCAAGCCCAGGGAAGGACACAAACCGATGCTCTCGGAGTGGGAAAGCAGCCAGATCTCATTCCATGGGATGTTCCCTGGCAGCAGGCTCATCAGCACTCACTGGCCCTGCTTGCTTACCCCCCGGTGAAGATCTTCTCCACGTAGTGCCGCATGAACTCCCGGCGCTCGGCCATCGCCTCGTCCCGCGCCGACTCCGTGCTCTGGCTGGAGGAGAAGGACTCGTTGGAGGAGGAGCGGTGGTAGCCACTCCAGTGCCTGGGAGAGTCACCCATGTCATTCTCGCTGTCCGCCGACTCGGTGGCATCGCTCTCCTCCCCGGCCACGTCCCCTGTGTCCCCCAGGTGCCCGTTCCCTGCATCTCCCAGGTGCCCGTTGTCACTGGGGGCAGTGGGAGGAGCGGGCTCTGAGGGGTCGCAGGTGGGTGTTTCAGCATCAAAGTCAATGAGGTTCCCCACAGGCACATCTACAGGGGCCTCCATGGCTCTCCTGGGGGATGTGGTGGTGTTGGAGGGACTTGCTCCTTGTCCTTCTGCCCCTCACTGAGGTGTGAAGGCCATCGCAGGCAGGATGCTGGCTAAGGCAGGCAGGACCTTCTGAGGGGGCACAGGTTAGCACAGGACATCTGAAAGACAGAGGGAGGATGAGAGTGAGGACAGGTCCCCAGAGAACCACCACCATGGACCTTGGGGAAGGCCACCACCTACGATGTCCCCAGGATGTCCATCAGCAGTGGAGGGAAAGGACAGGGACACACCAGGCAGACAGGGCTGGCTGCTCTCCATCAGCCACGTGAATCAGCAAACCCATGCAGTGCTCATGTGCTTTCAGCACAGTTCAAGAGGGTTTTCCATCCTTTAGCCCAGAAAAGAGACAGTTTGAGTCCGAGCTCCATATGTCATATTTGGGATGTGACATCTCGTGGTCTGACGGGCAAAACTGGGCTGGCGTGAGCCAGCAGCTGGCAACACACTGGGGATTCTCCAGGGCAGCCCTGGAGAAACACCCTCCTCTCTCCTGCCTTCCTCTCTGCTCATGGGTCTGTCTGACCCCGTTTGGAAAGGGGATCATCTCCAGGGTGGAGCATCCCAGCGCTAAACACACATTGACTTAAATGGGGAATGGAAAGGAGATGCTGGACACAACAGAAACCGTAATGGGATGAGGACATAAGGTTCTGAACTGCAAATAATTACTTTTGGCATCCAACCCAAGTTGCAAAGGTCCTACAGAGGAGGTACAGAGGCCACAGGCAGCTCTGCTCCAGGAGCACCTGCTGGCAATGGACCACAATGCTCCAGCACATGCCCATCCCAGACAGCACCTCGGCAGCTGCTGTGCAGCAAAAAGGGCAAAGAAAGGGCTGCCCTGAAACTGCTTCTTCATCACAGAGTCACTCACGTCCTCTGTGAGAATGTTTCTGCCCCAGGAGGTGGCAAATGATGGCATCTGAGAAGGGACCCTGGTACAAGCAGCCCCACTGCAGCGTCCAGGCACGGGGCCAGTACAAGGTGGCACAGGAGCAGAGACAGCAGCACAGGTGACAGGTAACAGTGACAAACCTAGCACGACAGCAACATTGACACGGCCCCACTGCCTTCCAGGGAACTGAACCCAGGACACAGGCAACCAGCCTAGAGCAAAAGTACCCAGATTTATTAGCATACCCCAAAGGACAAATGTCCAGTTCATCAGACAAAAAAAGAGTTCAAAATAAAACCAAATCTGACGTGTTTCACTGAGCAGAACACAGTGTCCCTGGGAAAATAACCCCCGGGGTGCAGGAGGAGCACCTTCCTCCTCCTCCTTCTCATCCCCAGGGACCCCTTGGGGCAGTGGGGTGCTGAGACCCACAGGGGAATAAAACACTGCACCCTCTCTGAGCATCAGATAGCTGGGAAAGTCCCTTGTCCCACAGTCCCCAGGGCTGAGAAATGGCAGGGACAGAAAGTCAAGTCACCTCAGGTGGCAGAAATTTGGACACCAGCATGCACCCACCACAAGCAATCACCTCCCCCTCCACTGGCAGCCTGTTCTCCCTGCTTCCCTCACACCAAAGACACTCTCTCCTCACACACACCTGAACCTGCCTCCTGGGAGAGCCACGTGGACACTGCTGCGCTCAGGGAGCTGCCAAGGCCTCTCCCTCTGTCGGGAGAGGAGCAGCCCAGAGGCTGCGGCACAGCAGGGACTGGCGGGGTGCCCGTGGGGAGCCAGCCAGCTGCAGCCCAGCTCGGCATTCCCGGCAACCTGACACCTCCAACCACCCCGCGAGCTGCAGGGACCTCGCTGTGATCCATCCATCCATGTACCCACCCATCCATGCATCCATCCCTCTGTCCCCCACCCTTCCTGCTCCCAAGGCAGCTGCAAAGTCCCTTTTGGCACCGATGGAGAGAAGGCTCTGGGGAGACCTGAGAGCCCCTTCCAGTGCCTAAAGGTGCTCCAAGAAAGCTGGAGACGGACTTAGGACAAATCCTGGAGTGACAGGACAAGGGGGAATGGCTTCACACTGACAGGACAGGGTTAGATGGGATATTGGGAAGAAATGCTTCCCTGGGAGGGTGGGGAGGCCCTGGCACAGGTTGCCCAGAGAAGCTGTGGCTGCCCCATCCCTGGAAGTGTCCAAGGCCAGGCTGGATGGGGCTTGGAGCAGCCTGGGATAGTGGAAGGTGTCCCTGCCCATGGCAGAGGGTTGGAATGAGATGAGCTTTAAGGATCTCCCAGCACCCCTAAATCCTGCATGGTTTCCCTCTGGGGCTTTTTCCAGGTGTGCTGGACGCTGAGGTCAGGTTTGATGAGGGACCTCAGCAATTCACACCTGGGAAGTGGGGTCCAATCTCAGTTTGCTGTGATGGAAATCCCGGAGGGGAGCAGAATTTGACTAGTCTGAGGCCCAGCTCTCCTTACTTCCCAGCCACAAGGCTTGGATCCCCATGAGCTCCTTCCCACCCTGTCCCCAGAGCTGGATGACAAACTCAGATAATCCCTGTTATCAGCTCAGGCTGTGGGTGACATCCCACATAATGACAATGCTCGAACCCTCACTCACATCTGCATCCTACATGGAGACAGTGCTCCAGCCTGGAGCTGTCAGGATGATTAAAAACTGTAATTAAAGTGAAGAAACCTCTGGATGTCTTCTTGTAGCTGCAGGAGTCCATCCCTCCTGTCTCCTTGCTCCCTGGTTGCTGGATGGCACCTGGACACGTAGCTCAAGGGCTCTGAGAGCCCCAGGGACATTCAGCTCCAGGAAAGGGGGAAAGACACAATTAATATTCTCGCAGGACTCAGCTTGGCAGTCCAGAGGGGATGGCTCTGCTCCCTGGGACACTGTGCATGGACACAGGCACGAGCTCCGCAGAGATCTCCGGCAGTGCATCCATGCCCTGCCAAGGGATGTGGATGCCAAGGGCTGTGTTCATCCCGCTGCTGTGCGGGGGCAACAGATGCTCCTGCAGCACGTGGGCAGCATCTTGCCCTGACCAGGGCAGGGCTCGGGCTGCTCTGCAGCAGAGGTTGTTTAAACACATCCCATGTTTCTGTTTCTCAGCTGTGTCATGAGACAAGTCCTTCCTGACCTGCGGGAAGAGGGTCAGAGCATTGCTGCCTCCTCCCATCCCACATCCTGTTGCCCTGGGGAGGATGCAGCCCTGATGCAGAGGGATACACAGGGAGTCACCACTGCTGGAGGGACAGGGAAAAGTGCCATTTCCCAGTGCTGGCACTTTTCCACACTGCAGCCCACCATGGAGATCCACATTTGTCCGCTCGCCCTGTGCACAGCACACCCAAGTCCCAGGGGCTTGAGTTGCCCACCATGAAGCTGCTATGTGGAGTCTGACACGGGAATGCCACTTGCTCCCGCTGGGTACACCACACAACCATCCCCCTCACTGCACCCACGGGTCTGTCCCAGCCAAGCACGTGCCACGGCGGGCACTGAGCCAGCCTGTCAGGGCTCTGCAAAGGCACCGTGGGCAAAGCTGTGTGCCTGCCAAGGAAAACTCCCTGTGCCGTAAGGGAACAGCCTGTTTCCTCCCAGGGAACTGGTCAGTCTTGTTCCCCTGTGTCTCTCCCACAGGGAGAACAGCCCAGCCACAGGGTCATGGCTGAGGGACGCAGACCCATTGAGTGCCAGACCCCTCAAACCACCCTATATCCGGAGGTACCGCAGCTACCCCATCCCAAAGAGCCCCACAGATGTTCAAACACACAAACCTCCTTGCTCAAACACTGGGACTTTGGAAAGCTGGAACTCCCCCACGCTGGGTCTGCCTGTCCCTGCTGTGGATCCGCTCTGCTCCCTGCACTGGCAGCAGGGACACACTCCCTGTTTGTCAGGGCTCGAGCTGTGCCCTCGCTGAGGCGCAGCCGTGCTGCAGCACTGCCCAGGAATCACTGCTCTGCAACTTCATAAAAATAATTCCCCGAATGCCAGGGGGGCTCTGAGTTGTGACCGGTGCTCAGCTGCGCTGGCACAGGTGGAGCAGAGACCACACACACTCGGTGCATGTCAGGGTCAGCACCCAGCTCTGCCCTGAGCCTGCACTGGGGTCCCTGCCCCTGATGCAGGAGGATTTTTGGCACGTGATGTGTGTTGGCCGACTGGGTCTTTTCCCCAGCGGCATCTCCTCTCCTGACCCCAGTGTCAGGGCACTGCTGCCGGGTGGGCAGCACAGGCAGGATCTTTCCCCTTCCCAAAACCAACTTTAACCCACACGGGGCACTGTATTGAACCATCTCGCTCGTCCCTAATAACGGAGCCATTTCCAGGGAATCTGAAGCCCAGCAGCTCCCAGCTTGCTCCGCTTCCCAGAGAGCCCTTTCCCCCCGCTGCCATCAGACACCAGATGGCAGCTCCCCATTCGCCTGGACTTCAGAGGGGAATTAAATGTCTCTTGAATAGACCTGCGCTACGTAAGCCGGGCTTTTGTGCCGAGCAGCGGCTTCTCCTTTCACACTTGCAGCAGCACAGCCCTAACACCCCCCACGACACACACACACATCCCCAGGAGCCCCAAAACGCAGCTACTTATTGCACAATTCCCATTTTCACCAGCAAAATTCCATCCCGGGGGGCCAGGCTGTATTTTGGAAATGAGCTCCCCAAAAGGCACGGATGGTTTTCCCTGCCCTGAACACACTCGGTCCCCCACTCCCACGGCAGAAGCTGCCTCCAGCCCCTGTGGATGGGTTAAGGATGCAGTCGCCACGGCAGCACAGCTGAAGCCTTTTGCTGGTGGAGCCTGGGGACCCTCGGAGGACACGGGGACCCTCCATCCTTCCCAGGCAGGACGGATGGGTGCATCCAACCGATGTGCTGAGTTTAAAAGGAGGTGGGTGCTGACGGAAAAGCAGGTTACCACCACCCGGCGGGAGATGGGGAAAGAGGACGGATTAAACCCCAGCCGTGCCGAGGCCTGTCCTCGCGCGGGGTCACAGCGGAGCTGGTGTCCCCTGTCCCCGTCCTCCCTCCTTCCTTCCCTTCGCTTTTACCTGCACCCAGGAGCCTCGGAGCAGCCTGGCTCGCCGGTGGGTCAGCAGCATCCGGCAGGGCTGTGTCCGGCGTGGGCGCCGGCGGTGGATGCGGGGCAGGGACGATGCGATCCCTCCCTCCGGAGC